TTGAGAAAGGGTGCATAGGAAAGGAATTTTTTGAGACTGCATATTCAAAAATGTCTTTGTTCTGCCTCACACTTGATTGACAGTTTGGCCATTAGCTTGGCTATCTTTTTTCTTCAAAACTCTGAAGGCATCATTCTATTCTTTTCTGGTGACCAAGAGATTTTTCTTTCGAGAAGCTTGATGCCATTCTGATGGTAATTCTTTGTATATTAACTTTTCCTAGAACACTTTACTAATGTGAAATTTCGTGGTAATGCACAGTGGCTGTCTCTTAAGCATATGCAGAAAGGGCTGGGACCTGGGCATATAACTGTTGTTGTTTTATTCTATAACTGGAAGCCCGTATCTCCACTCCCCTTCCCCCATCTTGCCCATCACCCCACTCACTTCTCCTCTGACAACCATCAGTTGGCTGTATATACGGGTCTGTTTCTGCTTTTTGTTTATTCATTTGCTTTGTTTTTTTAGATTCCACATATAATCGAATTGCTCCTAGTACAAACTTTCAACCAATCCTTTCCCCACCCTTTTTAACTTCACACCTATTCCTTCTTACCAGTATGCCTGTTGCCTCTAATTCCTGAGTCCTTCTGGAATTCGGTGGTATAAAGCAGCTTGCTTCTCATTAGTAGCCCTGGCCACTGGCATGTAAGTTTCAGTGGCCACCATTTTGCTAAGTCAATTAGCACCTCCTCCATCTTTTTATCTTATAAAATTTTGTGAACATTTATTGTACACAGTTTTATTTTCTTCCATTGCCCTGAATGGTACTTTAAAACAAAAAAATAAGAACAAAAACTCCTGTCATTTTAGAGGAATTTTGAGAAGGCAGGAAGATAAACTCATGTCTAAATGACTGTATTTAATGTCTTCCACAATATTTGATGAAAGCCTCATTAATACTATTTTTGCTATTACCATATTATTTAGCCTTAATTTTTTATCATTATTACCCATCGACTCACCTTTATCATTAAGGATTCACATTTTAAATTTAGCTTTTGATATAAACTTGTAAACTTGGGGGCACCTGGGTGGCTCAGTTGGTTAAGCATCTGCCTTTGGCTCAGGTAATGGTCCCGGGGTCCTGGGATGGAGGCCCGCGTTGGGCTCCCTGCTCAGTGTGGAGTCTGCTTCTTCCTCTCCCTTTGCCCCTCCCCCTGCTTGTGCTCTCTCACGCACTCTCTCTCAAAATCTTAAAAAAAAAAAAAGTAAAATATCTAAAAAAAACTATAAACTTGTAAACTTGGAACTGAACTAAGAAATCAGAGTTGCCTAATTATTTTTCTTTTATATAACTACTAAATTTTTCTGTATTTGCTAAATAATTGTACCTAGATGGGTCTTGGTTTGACAGCTAGTGGTATTTCGCATTTCTCAAAGTCTGACCAGTAGCACTGACATTAGCTAGGAGCTTGTTAGAAATGCAGACTGAGGTTCCACTCCAAACTACTGAATCAGGAGTCTGCATTTTAATTAGATCCCCAAGAGAGTCACAAGCACACAATTCCAGTTGGAGATCTAGTCTGTTATTTCCCCACAGACCACCTCATTCTGTTTCCTCCTCCTCTCCCATTCCTAGTAGTACCTAAGGCATTTTCTTGTCAAATATCTTGCAGTTTGAGCATCATGAAAGTTACCTTTCCCATCCCTCTCCCACCATCATGAGCCTGTCTCCTCTAGGTATCTTAACACCTAGATTCCCCTGCTCCTCCAAAAGGAAAAAAAAAAAAAAAGCCTCAAAAAGTACAGGCTCTGGATCCATGCTACTTGGGTTCAAACTCTGGCTCTAACAGTTACTAGCTGTGGGACCTCGGGCAAGTCACGTCACTGCACTGTGCCTCAGTTTCAGCTCTAGCAGTAAGCATCTGATGCATGTTAATCTATATCCTCTGAAATCAAGACCTTAGCAACTGAATATTTAGGAATTTCTCCTTGTCTTCTGCTGAATAGTGCTTCTATCACCTAGTTACATAAAAGGAATGTTTTATTCATTTGGGCTTTTAGCTGCTGAATCAACTACTTTCACCTTCATCTGGGGATGGACTTTATAACTATCTGCTGAATCAATAGATTCCCTAAACCTTCTAGACTTGGGACTGCTCACCTGGTGAACATACTCTCTGATCTTCAACTATGGAGCATCCATGAGCTTCAGAATTCAATGATTATTGAGAAAAAGGCTCAGCAATGAGCACAGGAAGCAACAGGGGATGGGCATAGTTGCAGGAAGGTTGGGGTGAAAGCCGGCCGAATGTCAGCAACGGTGGGAGGAGAAATGGGGACATATACTATCTAGTAGGCAGCTGTCCTGTGACAGACTTGACTTTCCCAACATTATGTATGTTAGCTGTAGCTTGTCCACAGATGCCCTTTATCAGAGTACGTTTCCCTTTATTCCTAGTTTGCGGAGTTTTAAATCATAAATCAGTGTTGAATCTTTTTTTTTTACATGTATCAAAATGATCATAAGGTACTACTCTTTACTGTGTTAATATGATGGGATTATAGTAATTGACTTTTAATGTTAAATCAACCTTGCATTCCGAGATAAACTCTGCTTGAATCACGACATACTATGCTTTTTTTTTTTTCAAGATTTTATTTATTTATTTGAGAGAGAGAGAATGAGAGACAGAACATGAGAGGGGGGAGGGTCAGAGGGAGAAGCAGACTCCCTGCTGAGCAGGGAGCCCGATGCGGGACTCGATCCCGGGACTCCAGGATCATGACCTGAGCTGAAGGCAGTCGCTCAACCAACTGAGCCACCCAGGCGCCCGACATACTATGCTCTTTACATATTGCTGGGTCCAATTAGTTAATGGTTTAACAATTTCTGCATCTATGGTTATGATGTATATTGATATGTCACTTTTTTTTCTTGAAAAGGTCTTTGGCCAGTTTTGGTACTGTGGTAATACTGTTCCCATTAAGAAAAAAAAAATGAAAAAAATGGGAAGGAAGTATTCCTTTTTCCCTATTTTCTGAAAGTCTGTGTAGAATTAAAGCTTTTTCTTACTTAACTGTTTGATACAACTCATCAATAAAGCCATCGAGACCTGAAGTTTTCTTTTGTAGGAATAATTTTGATAATAAATTTCTTTGGTACAAGGTTACTCAGATTTTCTATTTCATCTAGTATCAGTTTTAGTAAGCTATATTTTTAAAGGAACTTGCTGACTTCATCTAATTTATTGGTTTAAAGTTGCCCATAATATTCCTTATTATCCTTTTAATGTCTGTAAGATCTATAGTAACATCTCCCATCTCATTCTTGATAGAAATAATTTGTACTTTTTCATTTTCCATCCAGGTTTGCTAGAAGTTTAATTTTATTAATCTTTTCAAAGAACCAACTTTTGGCTTTATAACTCTATTTTTAATACCATTAATTTTCCTCTTCCTTTCTTCCACTTACTTTGGATTTAATTTGCTCTTTTTTTCAATAGCTTATTCCTTCCTTTCAAATATATAGGTATTTAAAGCTATATAATTTAGGAAGCAAGTATAATTCTACTGATCTGACCTTTTATTATTTATTTCTCTGGGTTACTCACCCTTGAAAGAAATTCCCAAATCTTTTTTTTAGGGAAAACTTTTTATGAGAAATCAGTAAATTCTACCCAGGGGGAGAGTATGCATATAAATCTAAAGAAGGATTATAAGGATATAAAAAGCCTAGCATTCCTGTTACATAACTCTTGGTTTTTCATTCCATTCCAAGCTGGGTGTGTTTATTCTAAAGATGCTTGAATTTTAAGAACCCGCAGTTCCTGTTTTGAATGCTATGTTGTAATTACCAGTGACTCATTCAGGCATACTCAAGTTTTGGATGTAAATGAAGGTTAAGTATGACTTCAGTTAATTTTAATGCTTTGACTATACCAACCGCATCACTAGTACACCGTCAGGACGAGATCTTCCTCTGTTACTATTTACATTAATGTAATGAGTCATTTTTCTTCAGTCATTCTTTATATTTTTATATTTAGCTTTGAAGATTTAAACCCCACTCCTCTTTAATAATTCATTTTAGCATTCTGATTTTTAAATAGTTTTGAAAAGGGTTATTGCACAGATTATTTTCTTTATACTTATTCTGGATAGTACCAAAAATAATTCCCATCATAAAACTTCTTTAAGAGTTTCTTGTTTGTTTGTTTGTTTTTGAGGGGGGCACCTGCCTGGCTCAGTCCGTACAGCACACAACTCTTAATCTCAAGATCATGAGTTCAAGCCCCACGTTGGGCATGGAGCCTACTTAAACAAAACAAAAAACAAGTTCAAGAGTTTGTTGTTTTTTTTTTTAAAGGAATGATTTGTGCTATCAAATGAAACTTTTTAAAAAGTCAACCCAAGTCAAGATATTCCTAAATATACATACAATCAAGTGAATATTTGCATGTTTTAGAAAAATATTTTTCCTAATTCATCTTTTTAAAACATAGGTAACAATGGCCTTCTCAAACTAAATCAGCTAGTAGAAAAAATCTACTACATTTTACATTTAGCTTAAGGTTAGTTTTGGGAAGAAGGCTTTTGATTTTTAAATGCCAAATGTAAAGCTATTTTATTTGATGATCTTTGCCTCCAGCAATTTTCTTTTTTTAAAAAGCAGTAAATTTTTAAAAATTGTATCTCATTTCAGCATCTTTTTTTTTTTTTTTTTTTTTTTTATTTGAGAGAGAGAGAATGAGACAGAGAGCACATGAGAGGGGGGAGGGTCTGAGGGAGAAGCAGACTCCCTGCCGAGCAGGGAGCCCGAGGCGGACTCGATCCAGGGACTCCAGGATCATGACCTGAGCCGAAGGCAGTCGCTTAACCAACTGAGCCACCCAGGCGCCCTCATTTCAGCATCTTATTTTTTGAAAAACCCAACATTTTGGCCTCAGATAAATTTACACAAACACTTCAAAACATAATATAGCACGTATTATTTTCTCACAGGGCATCCGATACTAATATGTATAGATAACTTGGTTAAAATAACAAAAATCATATGAAAATCAGCACAATACTTCATTTATTGTATACGTTTGGCAAACAGCACAAAAATCCAGCAACATTTTAAACATGTAAAAAGTCAAATACTGAACAGTACTGGGGATTTTTTTTACATAATTAGTAATAATGAGAACACATTTAAAATACTGCAAAGCTAGCAAAATGAGGGTGCTTGGCGTCTGAACATATACCACAAAAACACACAAACACACACACGCACAAAAACAATATAATTTATCTTTACAAAAATTACAGCCAAGCAATAGAAAAGAAGGATGTTAATAATGAAGATACTAACACATATGTTCACTACATGTATCTTACACATTGAAATGCTACATCTTGTACCCTGAAATGCCATGTGTAGAGAGCCAAGCAGAGTAAATTTAGGCTCATCACTGAGGTTAAGAATTATTTGAGAAGAATTTAGTGCTTATATGTAACATATTCAATTAAAACTTTCTACATAGCAATTCCTAGATCATAACAATGTGTTCCACTATATATCTGAGAAGCTGAATCTTCTTTGTTGACAGTATGAAATTTCTGACCAGTATCAAAATTCTGGTAAAACACAAATTGAAGGCATTTTCTAGTGTATGCAAATGTTATAGGGGGCATCAATGAATGTGGGAGAAAATCTTAGATTTCACACTAAGTTTCTGCTGAGCTTTGTCAAACCAAACAGCTCAACTCTAAGGCAAGAAAAAATAACCCCCTATAACAGCTTAGTGGGTCTTAGAGCAAGTGAAGATAGGAATTCAATCTTAGGAAAAAACTCCCTACATAAACAGATTGGAGACAACTGGCATTGAAACAAACAAATTACCTACCATCTTAACATTCAGTCATTGGTTCAGAAGCCTGACAAACCATCTATTGGTAATGTATTATCAAATTAACTTTTTGGAATCAGCACCAGTCCCCAAAACCTCAAATTATAATATTTAATATTCATTAAAATACATCCTTCTTGTGCTAGATGAACACAACTAAAATCAAATTAAAGAAAGTTGAATTGACTCAACTTATACATATTTTTGTGTATACTGGGTAGCGACTTAAGTTTTTTTCATTTACTTGTGCTTCTGTTCTGGGGCACTTTGATTGAAGAGAAATTCATTTCACAAGATTACATCTTGCTAAAGCATTCCTTAGCATTGGTCCAAACTTGAATTCCCTAAGACAAAACAAAACAAAACAACCAAACAAAAAACAAAAAAAGAAAACTTTAAAATGTGACTTTGCAAGGATTCTGAAAGCCGAAGTTTTTGGCTTACTGGTATGCTAAATTTCACTTTCTGGAATAACTAACAAGTCCAGCAAATATGACACTATTTCTGGCAATGGCTAATAGAAGTGAATGTCTAATGCTTCTGAAAAAAGAAAGATATTTGCATAGCCTATCTTCAAGAGGGGAAAAGAGCTCCTACAACTTCTTTTTTTAGCAAACTGAGTTTTTAAGGTTCATAACATAAACTCATTTACTCAGATCACATGTTTGCATCATTTCTATTTATAAACCAAAACAAGTTTTCAGGCAGTTTTTCTATGTAATACTTAAAACAAAAGAAAAAAAACCTTATTAATTTAACAATTAAATAAAAATTAATGGATTTTTTTTAAAAAATGGCTTATTAAATTATTAGTCTAACAACTAATATTGTGATAAAAACCAGTAACAGGCTAAATTACCAAAGCCTCCCCAGTGGTTCTAGCAGGCCGTTCAGCACAAAGTTAATATGACATACATACCTAATATGCTTAAACAAAAATGCATGTATATAAAAATAAAATAGTAAAATCTAACCAACTGGTAGAAACAAAGGGTTTTTTTTAACAAACAAGATACATATTCTTGAATAACTGCTAATTCATGAAGAAGCAATATTTTAATACTTAAACATTAAAGTATGTCAATATTTATCAACTTACCAAGGCTCCAAACACTAGAAAAAAAAATCAATCTTTTGATTTTTCTCCTCCTGATGAAATACAAAAAGCAAATTTTTAAAAAAAAATCCTTTAAAATGTCTCAGATTGGCTGGATAAAGTAGTATCTAGTAAGAGTATTTGTTGTCAGAAAGGATAAGAGATCTTGTGCACTCACATAGGAAAAGTGTCCATGAGACGTCAAATGAGCAAATGAAAACAACCCCCAGCACATGTAATGCAGTCCGGTTTTTTGTGGGGAATTATTTTCTAAATTACTGTAAATGTACAAGAACGTCTGGAAGGACAAACGCGAAGTTTCTAACAGTGGTGAGGTTTCAAAAGGGATTTGCTGGAGGAGGGGGAAGAATTTTTACCTAATATGCTTCTGGATTTTTATAATTTTTGCAATGAGGGTATGTTATCTTTATGGTAATATTTCTGCTCTGATCTTTATTAAATTCCTACCTTCTACTAATTTTGGGCTTTGTTCTTTTTCTAATCCCTTTAGATGTAAGGTTAGATTGAGATTTTTCTTGTTTCTTGAGGTCGGCCTGTATCGCTATAATTTCCCTCTTTTTTTTTTTTTTAAAGATTTTATTTATTTATTTGAGAGGAAGAGAGCACAAGAGGGGGGAGCGGGAGAGGGAGAAGCAGACTCCCTGCCGAGCAGGGAGCCCGATGCGGAACTCGATCCCAGGACCCCAGGATCATGACCTGAGCCGAAGGCAGTCGCTTAACCAACTGAGCCACCCAGGCGCCCTATAATTTCCCTCTTTGAACTGCTTTCGCTGTGCTCGCTTTGGCAGCACATATACTAAAAATGAACTGCTTTTGCTGCGTGCAAAGATTTTGGACCATTGTGTTTTCATTTTCATTTGTAGCCATATATTTTTTTATTACCTCTTTGATTTCCTCACTGACTCACTGGATTTGGTAGCATGCTCTTTAGCCTCCACATGTTTGTATTTTTCCAGTTTTTTTCTTGTGATTGATTTCTAGTTTATACAATTGTGGTCAGGAAAGATGATGATATTATCTCAGTCTTCTTAAATTTTTTTTTTAAGATTTTATTTATTTATTTGTCAGAGAGAGAGAGAGAGAGCACAAGCTAGGGGGAGGAGCAGAGGAAGAGGAAGAAGCAGGCTCCCCACTAAGCAAGGAGCCTGATGTGGGGCTTGATCCCTGGATCCCGGGATCATGACCTGAACCAAAGGCTTAATCTACTGAGCCACCCAGGCATCCCAGTCTTCTTTAATTTTATTGAGAATTGTTTTGTGGCCAAATGTGTGATTATCCTGGGGAATGTTCCATGTGCACTTGAAAAGAATATATATTCTGTTTTTGGATGTTATATTCTACACATATCTGTTAAGGCCATGTGGGCTAAAGTGTCACTCAAAGATACTGTTTCCTTATTAATTTTCTGTCTTGATGATCTATCCATTGATGTAAGTGGGGTGTTAAAATCCCCTACCATTACTGTATTACCATCAATTTCTCCCTTTATATCTGTTAATATTACTTTATGTATTTCGGTATTCCAGTGTTGGGTAAATATTTACAGCTGTTATAGCCTCTTGCTGGGTTGGCCCCTTTATCATTATGTAATGCCCTTCCTTGTCTCGTTACAGTCTTTGTTTTAAAGTCGATTTTGTCTACTTTGTCTGATATAAGTATTGCCACCCTGGCTTTTTTTTTCCCATTTCCATTTGCATGGAATATCTTTTTCCATACGATAAATCTTAAAATTTAAAAAGATAAAGTAGGGCACCTGGGTGGCTCAGTTGTTAAGCGTCTGCCTTCGGCTCAGGTCATGATCCCAGGGTTCTGGGATCGAGCCCCACATCGGGCTCCCTGCTCTGTGGGAAGCCTGCTTCTCCCTCTCCCACTCCCCCTGCTTGTGTTTCCTCTCTCGCTATGTCTCTCTCTGTCAAATAAATAAATAAAATCTTAAAAAATAAATAAATAAACAGAAAGCCTCTTACTAAAAAAAAAAGATAAAGTAGCTTAAAAATCAATCAAGTATTTGATTCAACAAATGAGAAAATTCACTATCAAAAAGGTTGACCAAAAAAACACTTAGAAGTGATCCTTGATTTTTTTTTTTAAGATTTATTTATTTATTTGAGAGAGAGAATGAGATAGAGAGAGCATGAGAGGGGGGAGGGTCAGAGGGAGAAGCAGACTCCTTGCTGAGCAGGGAGCCCGATG